TTTTTTTTTAATTTGAGAGAGAGAGAGAGAGAGAGAGAGAATGTGAGTGGGGGAAGAGAGGCAAAGAGGGAGAGAGAGAATCTCAAGCAGGCTCCATGCCACCACCCTGGGATCATGGCCTGAGCCGAAATCAAGGGTTGGACACTCAACTGACTGAGCCACCTCGGCACCCAGGCCTTCCAAATTTTTATTTCAGAAGGAAGCCTGGGGTGTTTGGAGAGGAGACGGAGAGATAGGAAGAATTCTGACTTGGTCCCTCAGTATGATGGGGAGCCATACAAAGGCTTTAAACAAGGGGTGACATGAGTTGTTTTTAAAAACTACTCTGGCTGGTCGCTGGAGAAGGGACAGGGTAAGGGGCCAGAGTGGATCAGGGGGGACACAGGGAGGCTGTGTGGTCATCCAGCAAGAAGACAGTAGCTTGGCCAAGAGGGGCCAGGCAATGCAGAGAAGCAGATGGAGCTGAGAGATATTTAGGCCAATGGATAGGACTGGGTGATGGGCTGGACATAGGCAGCCAGAGACAGAGGGAAGTATAAAGGATGACCTCCACCCAAGGCTTCTCTTTGTGCAGTCAGCTAGTAGGTGAACGGCTGAAAAATCAAAGAACGCATGAATTAGAGCAACAGAAGGAACAAATGGCAGGCTGAGTTAGAGACCCATAAACGAGCTTGTGTAAGCACTCCATTCTCCACACACTTACCATCCTGGGGAGGCTCCGGACTGGCATAGGCTCCAGAGGAGGAGTCTGCCGGCATTCCCCCATCAGCCTGCAGCCTGCCTTCTCTGCCCTCTGTAGGGGGGAGTGAGGCAACATTCCCAGCCCTGGGTGCTGCCCTCATGGAATAGGAGGCATCAAGGCTGGAATTGTCCACATCGTCCGTTTCTTCTGGGGTGTTGGAGGAAGAGCCTGTGCTCTCGGAAAGCCCACTCCAAGGGGACAACGTCTCCTGATCTCTCAGCCGCTCTTCCACAGCGGCCACAGAACCACACACCTTGGAGAGAGGAGAGATAAGAACTTTCTCTGAAATCAAAAATCTTACAGGTCTCCCGAGCTGAGAGAGAGAAAGAGGGAGACTGAAGAATCAAATGTTGATTCTTGCTGCTTTGTCTAGAAGAAGAGAGCATGTGCCTTTGAAAAGAGCACATGACCAAGATGGACCAAACATTGTATCCCATTCCTCTGACCTTAATGATTTAAGGTTTGATCACGTGACCCAAGCTGGTCAACCAGAATCCTTCTCTGGGACCTTTCTACTTAAAGCTTATTGAGGAAAGACTCCAGTTTCCTTTCTAGTGGTAGATCCAGACTCTCTACCCACACAGAAAACCTGTTCACAGCAGGAAAAATTAAGACCCCCACAAAGAATAAAACAGAGGCCAGAGAAAGAGATAGATGCGCTTTTGCTGGTTGAGACCCTGTGTCTCCTGTCTGCTATTTGTTTATGTGAGCCAATAAGTTCATTCATTCATTCACTCATTCATATACTCCCTCCCAGGCCCCCTCCTGTGTGTGTGGGTATGTGTGTGACTAAGAGTTTGACTTAAATTCTATCTCTTTCAACTGGAAACGCCCCAAGTAATATAGATATTGCCCTTGAGGACATTTCTGACTAGGGAGGTTAGGAAATCAGAGGGAGGCAGGCAAGGAATGTTTCTTCTTTGTATACATACATACACACACACACACACACACACAAAGGGCAGACAGATATACCCTTAATAACGATGACACATCTCACTTGCTCAGTCCCTTTGCAACTTACAAAGCACATTTGAATGTGATGCACAGTGAGTTTTTATAGGTAAAAAATTTAAAAGACCAGAGAAATTAAGTTCCCTGCCTAAGGCTACTCAGCCAGTAAGTAACAGAACTACTGACCCCAGGCCTGCTTGTCTTCAAGTCCATGACCCAGATGACCTCTCATCTTCCCAGTTTATTTGTGCAATACTGAGGGCAAGGATCACTTCTCATTCCTCTTTGTATACCTTAAATGCCCTATCTCCTTTATTCTACATAACTAATGCCTCCTCATCCTTCAAGGTCCAGTTCAAATGTCACCTCTTGAGACAAATCTTCAGAGCATGTACCAAATAAATATTCGCCAAGCTAAAAACTGCATTCCCTTGTGGCTAGGTGTGGCCATGTCACTAGATTAGGGCCTATGGGGTGTGAGAAAAAGTGATGTGTGCATTTCCAAGTCACACTTTTAAAAGGTAAGGAGTGTGTTCTCCTCTTCCTCTTAACCCCCTTTCAATGGCTGGAATGAAGATGTGATGGCCTGAGCTAGAGCAGCCATCTTGGACTCTGAAACGGAAGCCACACAGTAAGGATAGCAGAACAAAAATATAGAGGCGGCCTGGAGTCCCCAGTAAAGTGGCGCTGCCACATCAGCTCTGAACTGCCTGCGTTGAAGCTGTTCAGCTAAAGAGAATAAATTTCTATCTCATTTAAACCACTGTATTCTGGAGTCTCCTCATTATAACAGCTTCATCGAGTGTCCTTTAACTGATACGTTGAACAAAAGAATAAAATAAATGAAGAGATGAAAGCCTGAATGAAAGAATAAGTGGTTCAGGGAGACAGATCTTTTCAGAACATAAATCTGATTACGTCCTGCCCCTGCTTCAAACCCCTAGTGTCTTCCTCAAAATCCTAACTGTGCCTGCAAAGCCCTAAATTATTGGGCTCCTCCTTTCTCAGCAGCCTCACCACAAGCCACTCTTCCCCATGTGCTTCTTGTTGTAGTCACTTACACCTTCTTCCAGACCTTTGACTAAGCCAGGCTTTCTCTCACCTCAGGACATCTGCAGGAGCTGCTCCTTCTGTTTGGATTGCTCTTTGCTTACAATCACTACCTGGGGAAAATCCTCCTGGGTGGGACCCCATCATATGCTATAGTGCTCACCACACAGATGACTACTACGCATTGTCTGCGAGCTCCAGAAAAGCAGAACTGGACCTGCCTTGTTCACCGATTTGATCCCCCTGCCCAACACACAAGTACTGAATGAATGCTGTGCCACTTGGCACCTGGAACAGCTCAGGTGAAGAACAACCACTTGGGTCTCTAGCTCCTGCCACATCCCAGTGCAATATGGTGGACATGGGAATGAACGTGGAGTCCAGAGAGCTCTGACAGAAACTCACTCTGTGGCCTCATCTTTTCCTCTCTGGATCTTTACTTGCCCATCTATAAAATGGCAGGCCTGGGCTACAGCGGTGGTGTTCAAAGACTTTTTTTTTCAGCTACGAAGCCCTTTCCTCAAATGAAGTGTTAAGTACTCAGTACAATTATGTGAAGTAAAAGGGGGTGTCTGGTTGTAGTCCTGGGTGGGGCCTGCACCTCCCTGAGCCCTCTTGCTGCCAAAAGCAACTCCTGAGGTAACTGCAAGGAGTCCCTCTCTGCCAAACACCACTTGAAGATCACTGTTAGTCTCAGAGTCCTCTCAGGCAATCATTTGGTCCTTAGAAATACCCAGCATGGGGCGCCTGGGTGGCGCAGTCGGTTAAGCGTCCGACTTCAGCCAGGTCACGATCTCGCGGTCCGTGAGTTCGAGCCCCGCGTCAGGCTCTGGGCTGATGGCTCGGAGCCTGGAGCCTGTTTCCGATTCTGTGTCTCCCTCTCTCTCTGCCCCTCCCCCATTCATGCTCTGTCTCTCTCTGTCCCAAAAATAAATAAAAAAAAAACGTTGAAAAAAAATTTAAAAAAAAAAAAGAAATACCCAGCATGGACCACAAATCTATACTTGTTACCATGGAAACCACCACTCTATATCACATGCATAGAAAGATGCTGTAGCCCCTGATATGGTTGATTTCTGGGATATCTGCCTGGCCCATGGGTTAAGGATGCTCCCTTCCTCTAGGACTTAGCCCTTCCAGCTTTCTTGGGTTGACCCCCTGACCACCAGGTTTATAAACTGGGCCCCACTCCCCTCGCCTTACTTGACTGGCCAACGGGTGGACAATGACTCTAGGTAGGCCAAACAGGCTCTCTCACTGAGAGACTGGAATTGGGACCTGGAGACTTGATCTCCCAGTCGGGGTAGAACCATAGCATATAAATAATACCCATGGCCATATCTCCTAACCAAAACACAGGTCAAGAAAAGGGAGCCTACGGAGAGGAGAGGAGGAATCAAGCGATTCAGGGAAAGCAGAGTTCTATTAACATCTGAGTACGGGATCCTGGGCTTCCTGAGGTCCCCAGCACACTGCCCTCAGGTTCTTGAGCTACTCTAGGTCACTGGCTTCCCTGCTTTGCTCTTATGAGCTCCATTAAGTTGTGATGCTTGCAACCAAATAAGGCTCAGGTTTATGAAATCACCGGTAAAGGGCTTGACCCCGAGTGTTAACCTAGTCCCTGGTAAAGCAGAACCACAGGGCCACCGGGACGGGAGGCCCACCCGCCCCAGGGCAGGGCTCATCGCCAGGGTAAAGGCTGAGAGTGAGGCTCACCTCTGCCAGGCTGGCATTCCGCCTCCGCAGGCAGAGGCAGGCAGCCATGGCCAAGGCCTGGGCGCAGTCCTCCAGCAGCCTCCCAGCTCTCTTCTCCAGGTACTTCTGGCAGATCTCCTTAGCCATCACCTTTTCCACGCCCGTCTTCCTGCAGCAGAGTGAGGTGGTGCTGCTTGGGATTTCACTGAGGAGTAAATCCTTCTGTGGGAAGAAGAGGATAAACACTCCAGTGTGAGTTGCAGGGATGTGGGATTCAACCCGCACATTCCCCACCATCCCCCGCGACACACCAGGGCTGCAAAACTTCGCAGAAAACAGGATTTTAAGGGGCGCCTGGGTGGCTCAGTCAGTTAAGCAACTGACTTCGGCTCAGGTCATGATTTCACGGTTCGTGGGTTCAAGCCCCACATCGGGCTCTGTGCTGACAGCTCGGAGCCTGGAGCCTGCTTCAGATTCCGTGTCTCCTTCTCTCTCGGCCCCTCCCCCACTTGTGCTCTGTCTCTCTCTCTCTCTCTCTCTCTCTCTCTCTCTCAAAAATAAATAAAATGTAAAAAAAAAATTTTTAACAGGATTTTAAGAAATAAAAGCATACAAGGATCCAAGAAACAAGGAAAAAAGCCAGAACTGGAGAACTGATAAGTTCCCTATATGTACAAGGTGTTCCATAATACACTAGTACCACCCAGGGAGGGACTTAACATAGGCCTCCGTTGATTTACCAGGAAAATGGGGATAATAGGACTAACACAAAGATTAAAAGATATAACGCATCTAAGGCATGAAGTGTGACACTCGACACTGAATAAAGATTCAATAGTCTATTAGTGACCATGATAAATAGTAGCAATAGCTATGGTTTATATAGTACTACATGCTAAACACTTTATTTACATTCATAATTTAATCTTATTAACAATTACAGGCACATTTTTTTGATATAAAATACATATTTTAGGGTGTAGGATTCTGACTCATGTATATTTATTTATTTTTTAAAGTTCAAGAAGCATTATTATTTTTTAAAGTTTTATTTATTTAAGTAATTCGTACACCCAACATGGGGATCAAACTCATGACCAAGAGTCACATCCTCTACTAAGTGAGCCCCTAACACATATATATTTAATAGGAGATCTACTATATAAATATTGTGTATACTTACAATTTTATAAATTTTATATTTATATATTATAAGGTTTATAATATTTTATACTACTTAGCAGAAATCTAAACTATGCATATGACAAAAGTTATGCTATATATTTTTATATAAATATATAAACATAAATAGTATAAATTATGTTTCATAATATTTCATGAGTATATATTTACATATTTACAAATATGTAAATATGTTGCAAATATATTAAATACATTGATTAAATATATTAAATATAGTATAGGGAACTATGTAATATAATTATGTATATTTACTGATATAACATATAGCATATAGCATATTGCATTCAGCATTATAGCATATTGTTATTGATATAACAATCTGTTGTACATTACACTAACATATGAAGCATTTACATTTATGTTTTATATTTGTGATATATTTATTTGTGTACATAAACACATTTAATATAAATTTAAACATTTAATATAAATTTTCCACACATATTCTGTTATATATAATATATACTTTAATCAGTATATGTGTACATATTTGTAATTATATTTCATAGAATATGTAGTATTTTATGTAGTTACTCATGTAAATATATGCAAATATTTCAATGTACTTTATGTTGTATACAATGTTATATGCACTATAAATATTGTACAATATTTTATGCTATATAAAATGCAAAAAGTGATGGAGCTCCATGTCGTAAATAATATAAAATATGAATATATATTTAAATATAAATATAGGGATGCCTGGGTGGTTCAGTCTGTTAAGTGTCTGACTTCAGCTCAGGTCGTGGTGTCATGGTTTGTGAATTCAAGCCCCACACTGAGCTCTCTGCTGTCAGCATAGAGCCCGCTTCAGATCCTCTGTCTCCCTCTTTCTGCCCCTGCCCCACTTGTGCTCTCACTCTCTCTCTCTCTCTCTCAATAATAAATACATATTAAAATATATTTTTAAATTTTTTTTTCATGTTTATTTTTTCTTGAGAGAGACAGAGCATGAGCAGGGGAGGGGCAGAGAGAGGGAGAGACACAGAATCTGAAGCAGGATGCAGGCTGTGAGCTGACAGCACAGAGCCTGACATGGGGCTCGTACTCAGAAACCATGAGATCATGACCTGAGCCAAAGTCCACTCAAATGACTGAGCCAACCAGGCGCCCCAAACTATATATACATATTTTAAGAAGTTGTCATGGTGTTTAAAGTTGATACATCAATAAACATCAGAAGGGTGTTATTTACACATATGGAGGTTACCACCATCTGAAACAGAGTCAGAAACTGTTCAAAACGACTGCCCTGAAAGAATGATAGAGGCAGAAGCTCACCATTTGACTCCCCCCTCCCCCCGTGAAATCACGGATCTCATCTGGCAAGAGTCATCAAGAGACGCTAAGAGCACGGGGGGGGGGGGGGGGGGGGGGGTAACTTAGCGAACTTATTGGAGTCAGCAACTCCACCTGGACCCACTGATGAACCTCAGCACCAGAAGGAGAAGGATCCACTATGCGCATCGTGTTGTGATGCAGTGGAAAGCACCCAGCACCATCTAGGAAGCAGCACTGAGCGTGAATCTAACCAAGTCTCAGGATAAGAGGAATAGAGAAATAAGAACACCACAACGACATAAAAATCCGGAACATGAGACAGTCTACGGTACAAATGACTCACTTTATGCAAAAATGCAATATGTGGAAAGAAAAAGTGGGGAAGGGTGCAGTTGGAGACTAGAAGAGTTTCAAGGTGCATCTGGCTGACTCAGAAGAGCATGAACTCTTGATTTTGGGGTCATGAGTTTGAGCCCTGCATGGGGTGTAGAGATTATCTAAATTAAAGAACTTTAAGCAAAAAAAAGAAGGGTTTCAAGAAACATAATTAAAGGCAACATGTGGACCTTGTGTGTATCAGTTTCAAACAAACCAACTTTAAAAAGCAATTTTGGAGACAACTTGGGAAATTTAAATATGGAATGGGCATTAAATGATATTAAGGAATTAAGAAAACTGTATTTTATGGGTGGCATAATATAATACGTGGGCTATGCTTTCTTTCTTTCTTGAGAGAGGAGGGGGAGGAGCAGGTGGAGAGGGAGAGTGAATCTTAAGCAGGCTCCACCCACAGCGCGGAGCCTGACTCGGGGGGGGGCTAGATCTCATCCATGACCAACCGTGAGATCATGAGCTGAGCTGAAATCAACCAACTTAACCAACTGAGACACCCAGGTGCCCTTAGGCTATGCTTTAACACACACACACACACACACACACACACACACACACACACACACACACACACACACACACACACGTTTTTTGGGTTCAAAAGAAATAAGAAAAGCGTGATAATGATAACTGATGGGATGGATCCATGGAGATTCCTTATACTCTTCTCTTTACTTTTGTGCAGCTTCGAAATTCTCCATAACAAAAGGGGCTTTCAAGAAGTGGCCATGCCTGAGGCCAGAGAAGTGGGGGGAGAGAGGCGCAGTTGGGTTTTTGGAACCAAATATGCAGATTATCCCTTCAATTTCACTTGCCAAAGGTAACACCTGCTAGTGGTTTGGATTATATTATCCTAGACCTTCTGCTACAGAAGTCTATAGGTATAATTACTTTTGTTACATATTAGTTATATGTAATAATTATTATAGTGGCAAGCAACCACTTAAGAGTTATTAAAATAGCGGTAATCATAGTTAATAGTTAACTCATATAGTGCTTACTATATTTTAGTCACTGGTATTTTTTTTAACTTTTTCTTTTAATTTTTTTTTTGGGGGGGGAAGAAAGAGAGAGAGAGGCAGAGAGAGAGAAAATATTAATCAGGCTCTACGCTCAGCACAGACCCTGTCACCAGGGCATGATCCCCCAACATGAGCTGAAATCAAGAGTGGGACACTCAACTGATTGAGCCACCCAGGCGCCGCTCTAAGTCACTGTTTTTGGTACTGTTTTAGGTACATATTACTCAACCTTCACTAAAGCCCCTTAAGTAGGTACTATTATCTATCCCAGTTTGCAAATAAGAAAATGTAAGCTACAAGTTTTTTTTATTCATTCATCTACTTATTGCCAAAGATGGGATTAAACTATAAAGGTATTCTGAACTTGCTTTTTTCACTTGGAGATATTTTCCTGTAAGAACATATGTGTCTTTCTCATTATTTAAAAAAAGTTTTTTTTTCATTTATTTATTTTTGAGAGACAGAGAGAGCACAAGTGGGGAGGGGCAGAGAGAGAAGGAGACAGAATCCAAAGCAGGCTCCAGGCTCTGAGTTGTCAACACAGAGCCCGACTCGGGGCTCAAACTCACAAACAGAGATCATGACCTGAGCCGAAGTTGGACGCTTAACTGACTGAGCCACCCAGGCACCCCTCTCATTATTTTTTTTTATAAGATGTTTATGTTAGCTTTATTTGGAAGTGCCAAAACCTGGAAGTGGCCCAAATGTCCAACAACTGGTGTTAAACAAATGGTCATATATCCATACACTGGAATATTCCTCAGCAAGAAAAGGAATGAACGACTAGTATACAAAATAGCGTGGATGAATCTCAAAAGCACCACACTAAGTGGAAGAAGCCAGAAACAAACAGGTACACACTCTATGATTCCATTTATCTGATATTCCAAAAAAGAACTATGCGGTCAGAAATTAGATCAGTAGTTGCCAGGGGCTGGAAGTGGGGAGAAGGCATTGACTGTAAAACTGCACAAGGGAATTTTCTGGAATGATGGAAATACTCCATATCTTGATTGTGGTGGTGTTGGTTACATAAATGTCTACATTTTCTAAGACGTACACCATTCTATACGCCTCACAAGTGTGAATTATACCTCAACAGAAATGAATGCACATGTCCACAGTGAGACCCACACACAACAGTACCTAGAAGCTGTATGTGTAACGATCAAAAACTGGAAACACCCCACATGTCCATCAACAGGTGATGGGACAGTGGCACATGTCTGCAAAGGAACATTACTCAGCAAAAAGAAACGAACCACTGACACAAAGAACATGGATGTATCTCAGAATAGCCATGCTGGGTGGAAAAATCCAGACAACAAGAGTACTCTCTCTCTGATTTATTTTGTATGAAAGTCCAGAAAACGGAGCCTTGTACAGTGACAAAAAGCAGATCAATGGCTGTGGGGGATGGCAGGGGCTGGGAGGGATGGGCAGGGAGGATTACAAAGGGGAAGAGGTAACTTCTGAGGTAGTAGGCACAGTCATGAGCTTGGCTTGGTGATGATTTTGCAGATATATACATATGTCAAAATTTATCACATTATACACTTTGTCCTCATTACTTATAAATATTTATAAACTTATGTTCATGAACTTATTTATGAATAACTTCATGGAATTTCCACGGTGTGTGATTATACTGTCATTTCTTTAACCACCTCCCAGTTGACACATATTTCACTTGTTTGCAGCTCTTTACTAACATAAATAATGCTACAATCAATGTTCTTGTCCATCTGTCTTTCCTCCCTTGTATGTGTGTGTCCCTATGTACAAGTGAAATTGCTGCATCAGAAGGCACGCCCATTTTAAATTTTGATGGAAACCACCTAATGACCTCCGAAAACACTGTGGCCAGAAACACTCCCCCGAGGGTGAAGGAAAGGCCAGCTTCCTCCTACCGTGGACCACACTAGGTGTTACCAGCTTTCATCTCTGACCCAAATCTTAAATACATGTGCAATCTTAATTTTTTTTAATTAAGATTTTTAAAAAATTATACCCTCCACATTTTTATAAAGTAAACTCTATGCCCAACATAGAGCTTGAACTCATGACCCCAATATCAAGAGTCTCATGCTATACTGAGTGAGCCAGCAGGCATCCCTTCCTCCACATTTTTAGAAACCATTAACAAAAAATGCCTTCCAGAAAATTTTACATAAATGTCTCAACAAGCTCCTTCTCCTGTGACATTCATCCAGGGAGACCCAGAGGACTGCTAGGGAATTCACTTCACGAAAACTGTCAGAATAGCCAAAGTATGGAAATAGTCCAAATGTCCATTGATGGGTGAATGGATAAAGAAGATGTGGTACATATATATGCAATGGAGTATTACCCGGCTATCAAAAAGAATGAACTCTTGCCGTTTGCGACTACGTGGATGGAAATGGGGGGGTATTATGCTAAGCAAAATTAGTCAGAGAAAGACAAATATCATATGACTTCACTCATATGAGGAATTTAAGATATAAAACAGATGAACATAAGGGAAGGGAAGCAAAAATAATATAAAAACAAGGAGGGGGACAAAACATAAGAGACTCTTAAATACACAGAACAAACTGAGGGCTGCTGGAGGAGCTGTGGGAGGGGGGATGGGCTAAATGGGTAAGGGGCATTAAGGAAGACACTTGTTGGGGCGAGCAATGGTTGTTTTACATAGGGGATGAATCACTGGCATCTACTCCTGAAATCATTATTGCCCCATATGCTAACTAACTTGGATGTAAATTAAAAAATAAAAAGATAAATAAAATGCAGAAAGAAAAAAAGAAAAGAAAGGAAAAGAGAAGAAAAGAAAAGAAAAGAGAAAAGAAAAGAAAAGAAAAGAAAAGAAAAGAAAAGAAAAGAAAAGAAAAGAAAAGAAAAGAAAACTGTCAGAATAGGAGAAACCACCTCAAATTGCCCCACATCAAATCTGAAACCTACCTCTGTGCGGTATCTGGGGCTCGGTGGCCCAAAAGTGGCAGAGCTTGGGGGATCAGCAAAGGGAGAAGTCATGGCTTCCTGTGTGTAGGAAGGCCTTCAGCCCCCCACCCCAGGGCCCAGGGGATGCTTTTGGGGCCCAGCCACAAAAAACCAACTGCTCTCATGGCTTCACCATCAAGTCAGGAAAGGTGCTCCCCTCTCAAACTGATGAAAAGGATTTGGAACTCTGCAGAAAACATGGGTTCAAATCCCAGTTCTACCACAGATCTCACTGGGGGGCATGAGACAAATCTCTTCACCTTGGCCTCAGAAAAATGGGGATGATAATAATCTTGAATTCATATGGTTGCACTGTCATGAAAATTAAACAGTCAGCCAAGTGTTGGGGTTAAGAACTCAGGATCTGTGGTCCAGAAAGACCTGACGTGGAAGTCCAGCTCTGACACTTAGTAAAGCTGAGATCTCAGGCAAACCTCAGAGCCTGCTTTTCTCAAGTGTGGGTGAATGCAATGACCCTAGCAATCTCGTGGCGGTTTTGAGATGACTTAGAAAGATAATATATGTAAGGTGCCAAACACAGAGTCTGGCTGTGCTGTTATATTTTTGAAATTACACTGTATGTATATACACAGGAATGCTAATTCTTTGAACCCTCAAAATGGAAATTATTGTTTTTATTATATAAACCCATTTAAGAGGGCTGAAATTCACTTTTACCAACTTGAAAACAAATTCTATTTGATTGCTGGATGTGTGGAGAGAAGAAATGGGTTTCCCCTAAACATTCTGAGTTCTCTTATCACAAAAAATAAATTTTTGGCTGGCTGGTAAGTAGGAGAGAAGTTAAGGTTACTTTGCAGATCAAACACTAGACTGAGGCCTCATAACCAGCTGTAAAATGGGTACAGTAGAGGTCTCTGCCCTCCGGATCCCTCCCCTGCTAGCTGTGAGCCAGAAGTGACTGGTTCCCTTACCAGGTAAACTGGGCTTCGGTCATTATCCATTGCAGGGATGCCGGTGAGGACCTCAGCTAACACCTGGAGAGAACATGCAGTTAGCATGGTTCAGACACTCATGTAGAAGTTCAGACAGCAGATTCTCGCCAAGAGAGATGATTCTTCTCAGAAACAAAAGCTGAGCTCCAGGCCTGGCTCTGCCATTTGCCAGGACAGACACTTGCCCCAAATCTGGAACATCAGAGTATCACTAAACACCTCCTCCAACTAAACACAACACCCAGCTGCTAGGAGAAGGTTTGAATAAATAGCAAGTCAGGAATGATGGAAAGCAAATATGTGTGTATTACCATGAGTTTTATATGCATATGTATATCCACATAAATATATAATATGTATATTTATATATGCATACTATATATATAAATATGTGTATACACATACTTATACTCACATATCTATCTATATACATATATGTACACATACTATTTTTAAGTCTATTTTTTAAGTTTATTTCTTTATTTTGAGAGAGAAAAAGAGAGCAAGCATGAGTGGGGGAAGGGCAGAGAGAGACTCTTAAGCAGGCTCCATGGTGTCAGTGCTGAGCCTGACACAGGGCTTGATCTCATGAACTGTGAGATCATGACCTAAGCTGAAATCAAAAGTCTGATGCTTAACCTACTGAGCCACCCAGGGGCCCACACACTATATTTTAAAGATCATTTCACTAAAAAACCCATCCGAAGTGGTAAGTAGGCATTGCTACATCAGTCTCAGGAAAAGGAGGAGTCTGGGTATATATGTCTATTCTACACAGCACGTCTCAGCAGTATCTGTAGCATGTTTCTTCCTCGGCCTTTATTAACATTATTTGTTCATTAATTCACCCACGCACAGAAGGAGCACACCCCTGCACCAGTATAAGACACCACAGCTTTGACAAACCATGATATGTGTCTTATTATAGGGAACACCTGCTTTGAACAGAAATTCTCAGCAGACATAAGAGCATAGTGGTTAAGGGGTGTACGATCAGACAGGACTGCCTGGATTTAAATTCTGACTCTCTTCCTTTTTTTTTTTTAAGTTTATTTATTTTGATAAAGAGAGAGTGTGCATGCACAAGCTGGGGAGGAGCAGAGAGAAAGGGAGAGAGAGAGAGAATCCCAAGCAGGCTCTGTGCTGTTAGCACAGAGCCCAATGCAGGGCTCAAACTTACAAGCCAAGAGATCACGATCTGAGCCAAAGTTGTACGCTTAACCAACTGAGCCACCCAGGTGCCCCTGACTCTCTTCCTTAATCACTTAGGTGATCTTCAGGCAAGTGCCTAAAATCTGAGCTGGCATCCTATCCCCAGAGGACAGACCTGCAGGATTAATTACAGACTGGCAGGGGCCAGGAGGGGGCAGCAGAGGGCACCCCGTAGCAAATGGATGGGAGCAAATTGAAATGGGATTCCCAACCAGCTCCTGCCAGGAAGAGAGGGAAGGACGAGGGGAAATGAATAAATAGACATTCCCTCTGCCCCTAGTACAGACAGGCTCTGTGCTGAACCTTTTATGGAGATCCTTCAGTGTTCACCAAACAAACAAACAAACAGACAAACAAAAACACTGAGAAATGCAGTGTTCCTAACAGGAGGAACCAGAGTTCAAAATCATAGTGTCAGTGGCAGGGCACAGAAAAAGAGTGAAGGGAGCCAGTGGGCACTGAACGAATGAATGCATGAATGAATGAAAAAAAATTGTTACATCAAGAGCTGAGTTAAAAATTCAAGGGTAGGGGTGCCTGGGTGGCTGGTCAGTTAAGAATCCGACTTTGGCTCAGGTCATGATCTCTCTGTTCATGGGTTAGGGCCCCACATAGGGCTCTGTGCTGACAGCTCAGAGCCTGGAGCTGCTTCAGATTCTGCGTCTCCCTCTCTCTGCCCCTCTCCAGCTTGAGCACATGCTCTCTCTCAAAAGTAAATAAACATTAAAATTTTTTTTTTTAT